CAGTATTGCAGGCTGAATATGTCTATTTATTCCAAAGTCACAGCCACACAAATGAGCACAATAAGCTTATAATGTAATAATAGGATTCAGTCTTTCTAATGTTATATAAAAATATCCTCCACAATATATGCCGTACTCATCCACTAAAACACATCAGTTAACCTTGTTTATTACACAACATTAATTGGTTTAAATTGGGTACACTGCTTTTATGTTTTTCCCATAGATTTGTCCCTTTCGATTCTGAGAGACACACATTTATTTTTTCAGAGGTTTTGATAGGCTAAAACATCAAACTACCCATGATCCTCAGCTATCGTTGAAGCTCGGTGACTGGATGTTTTAGCCGCAATGCACGTTGGGATATGGTGTTTATGTGATGTGAAATCCGAGAACATTTAGGTTGATTGTTCAAGCGCTTATTACGACCTATAATCACGTTTTAAAGTGTTGGACCTCTATTGCTCCCGTTGACTGCCAACGCTCCGGTGGGTCGTATATTCACAAATAACCCTCTCTGGAAAATCCTAAATTGTAGGATAGTTTGGCCATTAAAATGCTTTTTGATTCGATTTCTAGCGAGAAGTGTATATTGTACTTTTAGAATCCACATCCAGTGGATGTGTAGGATCTATAGTTTGATAGATATTACAAAGATTATTTGAGGTCTCGCCAGGAGAACGTGTATATACTACGTCTTATACGTAGGCCTATATGTAAACAAGAACACCTCCATAGGCCAGACCGTCTCAGTTTGTAGACTGCTCGGTTCAGGGTCCAGCCTACTGCTGCGGTGCTGTTTCTCTATAAATCCATGCTGAATTGGACCTTCTGTTTAATTCTTCTTCTTTAATGGCGACTTCTAAACAGAGTAGAGGAGAATTATCGCCACCTACTGTATCACTGCAGCATTGTTCTTTGTTACTTCCGTTTCATTACAATGACTTCCGTTACAGCAAGAATCCCCCTCACACACATAGTTGAAACACATTTACATTCCCTACTGAGAACCTTTCAATAAAATATTTTCAGGAGTGTGTGTGTGTGTGTGTGTGTGTGTGTGTGTGTGTGTGTGTGTGTGTGTGTGCGTGCCTGCCTGCCTGCCTGCCTGCCTGCCTGCCTGCCTGCCTGCCTGCCTGCCTGCCTGCGTGCCTGCCTGCGTGCGTGCGTGTGGTGTTCAGTAGTGAATGTGAGAGTATTTTAGTAGTATGTGTGTAAGGTTAATTTTCAGTTGCGTGTGTGTGAGGTTTAATTTGCAGATGTATATGCGAGGTGTTCACTAGTGAATGTGAGAGCATTTCTATAGTGTGTGTTTGAGGTTAATTTTCAGTTGTGTGTGTGTGAGGTTAATTTGCAATATTAAGTGTTTGAGGTTTAATGTTCATTTGTGTGTGTGAGGTGTTCACTAGTCAATGTGAGAGTATTTCAGTAATGTGTGTACAAGGCCAGATGTTTTCAGTAGTGTGTGCGCGAGGTTAGTTTGAATTTTGTCCTTGTGAGCCTCTCCGCTCACACAGGGTTCAAATCAGGACGGAAAGAGCAGGTTGGTGAAACACAGGCATTTATTAACTCCAAACAATAACATGTGCGGGTCTCAAACGTTGCCCGGGTGGGAAACTTCACAGGTCCTTTGGCGACCTTCCAGGATCCCGCCTACTGCATAACAGACCAGAACCAGGTTACGACATGCTTTTCTTCCTGCACTGATTACCTGATTCCGATCAGCTGTCTGGCCTCCGGCCGAGCCACTCCCTTCACTCCAGCAGCCAGCGCCTAAACCAAACCCCGCTGCCACAGTCCTACACGGCCCTTCATATCTGGGAGTTTTTGTGCGCGCTCCCGCAAGGTGCAGTCAGCATGCATAACACGGCATAACAACGGTGCTAACAGTTCACGAGCGTGCTCGTTAGAGTTGTGTACAATTGTTTTCATAATTTTACGTGAAGAAATGTACTTTGTCATTGTATAAGATATGTTACGGAATCATACAAATAAGATGCATTCAACCCATATACAGTGGAGATAGCAATGAGTGAAAAAGCGGATAACATTTTTTTTTGTGATGAATCACTTAAAGGGGAAATACAAAAGTTCAAATGTAGTACTCCACAAAGTTTGTTTATGTGTGCTAAAATTATCAATTATGTTAGTGTTATATTGACAGAATAGGTTTAGGTTAATTTTTTTTATGGGATCTGACCAAAAGTACATTTAGAAATTCTGAGGGAAAAGTCAGAATTTTTACTTGAAAATTCTCACTAACGACCTCACAATTTAGATCAAAGATCAAGTTTTCCCTCAGAATTCTTACTTTATTTTCAAAATTCAGATTGTTTTTTTCTCAGAATTCATCGAAAATTAAATCACTTTTCGTCAGATCTCAGAAAAATCTGCCCTAATATTCAAATCGCAGGAGACGCAATTTTTGTTTGGTGGTGCTGCAGAGATGTCCCTGCCTACAAATTGTGTTCTACAGATTTAAGAAAACGTCTGATAATTTAAAATATATCTTTCAATGATAATGAGAATAACGATTAATAAATATCGATCTTTTCAGTATTGTGAATCATATAACAATTGATCACATCGTAATAAATATTTTTTCCAAATCGTGCAGCTCTAATTTGCTAGAATATTTTGAGTTTGTCTGTGTTTCTGAGTTCTTGTCTTTTAACTGTTTTTTCATTAAATATTGTATTTTACCTTCAGATACATGTTGATTGTCTGTGTGTTCAGGGAGGGAACTCTGCGCCCCGGGGATCGTCTCCTCAGCGTGGACGGCGTCCCGCTCCACAACGCCAACCACTGCGACGCTCTCAGTGTGTTGGCTCAGTGTGGCCAGGAAGCCCTGTTCCAGATAGAGTATGACATCACTATCATGGGTGAGACACACACACACACACCACACAATGCCAATTCTAGAGTCTGTGGGGGCTCTAGGCAAACAATCACTGGGGGCCCCTCGAACCAGCTTTTCATCACCACGTTGCGTTGCCAACATTTGTCCAGTCTTAAAAAATATGTCATGCCTGCACCACTCTATTCAAAATTGGATGTGTTTTTTCCATGTGTTGGTATTGTCTGTCACCTCAGGCTGAGCTCTGCCTTTTTTTGGGTAAACTGCTCAATTTAACTGCTCATTTTAACATTAAGAATCCCTCGGTCATCACTTCTGATAGTCATTGCTTTCAAAGGCATTTTTGCCTCAAGCTGGTGTACTATTAATGTTGGTGATACAGAATGTAAAATGTAAAAGAATGTTGTTCTGTCATATCACAGGAGCATCAGATCAGAGTTAAGGGCATAATAATTCATTTTGACTCTCCCACTCAGACACAGTAACGAATGCCTCCGGGCCGCTGTTGGTGGAAATAGTGAAGTCGCCGGGAGCAACGCTGGGCATCACGCTGACATCGGCCAATCATCGGAATAAGCAGGTCATCGTCATCGACCGGGTTAAACCTGGCAGCGTGGTGGACAGGTACACACACGCACTCAAGCACGCACGCACGCACGCACGCACGCACGCACACACACACACACACACATACACACAGACACACACTCAGACACTCAAACAAACACACAGACACACACTCAGATTTCCACATGTACCTGTCAAACTGCACCCCTGCAGTTTGACCATGATATATTCAAGATGAGATAAATCCCAAGTCGTTAAGAGTCAATGTTCAAGGTTTGAACATAGTTTTTATTCTGCTTCTGGTTTTTAATTCTCAGGCTACAGGCAGGCTGAGTGTGGTGAAGGTCACATGAAGCCAGAAAGAAACTCCAAAATATTTTTCAGAGAAAATGTATTCTTACTGCATATGGATTCACAGCGTCATTACCATATTCTCCTGAAACAACATTTTACATCAAACAGTAGTAAAGGACAGCACTTTATGAAAGTAAATGTGATTGAAATGAGGGTTAAAGGCATTAATATTAAGTCAATCTGCCTTATTTATTCATGTTAATCTTATATCATAATAGTTGTTGTATTAAGCTTGATTAGAGGCAAATGGGCTGACAAAGCTCTGTAACAAAGAGGAATGTGTGATATAAAAATGTGATATAAATATTAGGGCTGGGACTTTAACGCGTTAATTAAGATTAATTAATTACACAAAAATTAACGCGTTAAAAAAATTAACGCATTTTAATCGCACTTATTTTTGCACCGCGGAACGTTTCTCACTGGATGAGTTTCAGGGGTACCGATTATACTGAAGCACCAACTAACGTTCATTACTTCAGACAAAAACAAAACACAGTGAACAATAGTCAAACGTGAACGAAGAAGCTGATGAGACCGCTTTGGTTGGCCCCGTGAATGGGACATTTTGTTTTAAAAAACGGACGGATGGAAGCGTCAATAAGAGCACGGTTGTTTGCAAATTATGCAGAAAGGAATTCGCATATCACCGCAGCACATCAAGCCTCAAGTATCACCTCAATGCAAAACATATAGCAGCTAGCGTGGAAGCTAGCGTGGACGTTAGCCCGACTCGGAGTACAAGGACCCACACCCAATTCGCGTTGATCAAACAGTGGCCTATGCAACAGAGAGATTTTATTTTTCATCAGGATATTGGAAGAATAGGAGGGATTGAGGTCAATCACTGGCACTTTTTTATTTTATTTTAAATGGTACACTTTATGTTGAACTATTTATTACGTTGTTGGTGCAACTGGCACTTTATGTTGAACTGTTTATTGTTTTGGCCAAGGTTATTGAGAGAGTTGGACTGAAATTATTAATTTTTTAAATCAACTGTTGGTAAATCAACAAAGTCTGTTATGGCCTCTGAAGCAACAGAGAGATGTTTTCTAATAGTCAGGGTTTCCAATGTTCTGAATGTACTTGAAAGTATTGTGTTTTACTTAAAAAACAAAGTGTTATAGTTTACAGAAGGTCGACCTACCTATAGGCTACCTGAATCTCTGAAATGTACTATATTCCTAAATATGCTATTGCTACACTTTATGGCAAAAATTGCACTTTTCTGTTGGTCTTGGTTAAGAACCTCCTTGAAAAAATAAACAATGTTTTGTTGCTTAAGCTTATGTATTCAGTCATTATTCAA